TTTTATTGTATTTTTGGCAGTGGAGACAATGATTGGCACGTTTTTTTTTGCCAAACATCTGACAAAAAAAGCATTTTTTTTTCAACATGTGAATCGGACCAGGCATTCAAAGGGAAGTTCCACCGTTGATGAAGGCCCCAAGTTGCATGCAATTACAATTTGGATTTATAATCCATCCAAATGGTGAAATGATTGGCAACTTTGTCAAACATCCTCCACATTTGTAGGCCCAGCAGTTTAAATGGGTACAGCACAGTTAGTCGATCGGCGGGTCGTTTGTTGTGAGCGAAAGTGTGGGGACTCCCATCGCTTCCAAGACCAGTTTGGCAAAGTAGGCCAAATACCTTTAAGAGGGACTCTCTCTCACACTTCGTGGAGGCATGGATAAATAAATAGATTTTCTAACTTTAAACGTATGACAGCTTCTAAAGCGCTCACAAAATGCTGAATAGGCATGCCAATATAACGTGCAGTGTGCTATACACGTATCATGTAGTTTGTATGTGCAGCATCTGAGATCCCATTCATGGCCTTTTGCTATGGTCTCAAATATACTAAGGCTGCACCCGAACTCCAAATATCACAAATGAGGCACAAAGGGTGCAACGCTATTATTATTATTATTTAGTCATGCTTGGTGCTGGCCTTTGAAGGTGTGTTCACTTAAGTACTAAAATCACCTGCAGTACAACGTCACATATCCAATTCGCTGGGGACTGAGTTACAGGTCGGATATGTAAAGAAGTCGGATAGGTGAACATCTGTAGGAATTGTCAGTTGCATCGTGCGCTAATAGGTTACTAGACCTCAAATAAAACGCAGACTGCTTTAAACGTGGGATGATTCCTTGCTTCATAAATGTACACGAGATTAAGAAGAATGTAATCATTGTATGTGGAAAGGTCTGCGTTGTGAACGTCGATATGAAGTGACAGGTACACCAGGTACACTTAAATGGTGCACTGGGTCTGGGCGGTTGATTGGTCACGGTGGATATGCGATGGTCGGATATGCGACTTTGTACTGTATCTAATGCACTTGCTTAACATGACAACATATATTATGTCACCTAGATTTAATCTGACAATTTTTTCTTCCAACAAAAAAGCTTGAACATAGTAGAAAGCGTTACAATAACAACTGACCTTAGCTCTCTTTTTTACCTCACTGTTGTAAGTTTTTTATAAAACGAAAACTATACAATTGTTGCGATTCTAATGGTGCTATTTTTAACATTGTCTAAGTGCCGTTTAGCCGCCGAATTGCATTGTTGTGAATTCCTGATAATTTCACATCAACCACATTGTTAAAATTTGTCTCCTAAAAATACTGTATTTTTAAACATGTCCATTTTATATTGGACTTTCGTGTCAATTCTTTTTGCTATTGTATATTATTATATTCTAATGTGGTATCTGGCTAATACAGTAATTATTAAAATGAAAAGAAAACATACTGTTGTTTTGTACTTAAACAGATAAAGGTATCCCTTGGTTATTCCTTTTAAATAACATTGGCTTGGGGTCGGTCTGTATACGGTTAAGTAACTGAAAATTTATCATGAAAATTAGAACTTTCTTTTTATTTCGCTGCCCTTACTGGCACACATTTGCCAGTACAGTATTTGTTAATGTTTTCATATGTAAACACTGATGTGCAGTGCTGTGGACAACCACTTTTCAATAAAAGAGGCACATCCCAGTATATTGTCAGTGCTGGTGTTTGTTTTCTGTCAGTCAGTTTGCATTACAGCCTGAGCTTCAAATACGTTATTCTTCATCAACTCCGCTTCATCCTAAACAAGTTTTGCAGTGTCAAGGTCAGGTATGTGCCAAGGATTATATGCAGACTTGCCAAGTCAATATACAACCTCGAGGAAATATGATGGCCAAATGATCTTCGGTATCTTTTTTGCACGGTTTTGGATATTGGAGTGTTCGCTTCCATTAAAATTCCAAGTGTGACATTTGCCCCGAGATGCAATAGAGTACGCACTGGATATTGCCGATGCGGAGATGTGAGAGATAGTGCTTTTATAGGTTGAGTAGATGTTTACGGTGATATAAATCTGCTCTGGTCTGCAAAGAGCACTCACAAATAATTCAAGTCATTTAATGGGCACCATCAGTAGAATGGGGACACTAGTTAGTGGATCGTGTGGTGGAGTCAGGTGTAGATACTCTCACCTCTTCTAATGCTTGCCCAGCATGGAAGAGTAGGCCAAATCACACTCTAGAACTCCTTGTGGATGCCCTCCTGCCAAGTGGTGTGAGCAAGGAGTTAGAGGGCTACACCTTTGCTTTTACTTCACTTTGCATATTAAGGATTAAGCATTTCACCTATTGCTGCAATGCCATGATTGCTCAGTCATATACCCCAAGCTCTTGCAGAGCTCTGAAATTGTGTAGGTGAAACACACAAGACAGAGAGATTTGCTTGGCTGAAGTATCCGCTTACAGCAATACTCATCAACAGTAGTCCAGTTATTGGTAAGGGGGGCCTCTAGGCTGGAAATGCCAAGGGCTTGGGTTGCGAGACATGTCACATGAGTGCACATGGATGGGACTTACAGCAGGCAAATCATTGATGAAGATGTTGACAATTGCCAGGACAATCAGAGGGGTCTCACAATCTGCAAGGGCTTGCAGTGTCTGAAGGAGAAGCCCAATGTTTATTTTCGAGTGTGGCAGGACTTGGAACAATTTAGGCCTGCATGCCAGACTGTGTCATATGCCACTGTGAGGTCAAGGAAAAATGCACCTATCTTGATGGGACATTGGAACCTATTTTCGTCATATCAGCGCATGAAGCTGAATACAGATGCCATGGCCAAAATGGAAGCCCACCTGGTTGATGCTCAAGATACTTTTGACAGGAGTTAAGATGTATTAACAGCACTAATCCCTGCAGTAACTGGAAACACAGTCCCAAGGAAGACAGAGGCTGGTTGCCCTCGATGACTTTTAAATCCTCCCTTGGCATCAAGAGCAATGGCTTTGGCTCACCCCCAGAATTTCTGCAGCCTACATTCTGACACAACACGAAAAAAAAGACCCGTGTTAACCAGTGCCAAGCGCTGGGGTTCAGGAGTTTAAAACGTTTTGGAGATATATATTACCTAAAGCCTCGTCAGGTGCCAGACATTAGGAGTGCTGAGTGCACTGAGTGGCAGTAAAGGGCCCAGAGGGAGGTTGCTGTTCCTCACCTCCCATACCATACCTCGAAAGACAAAGATCCCCGGTATAGCCTTAACAGACTGTTGGGGCAAGTGCTGTTCGCGAGCACCTGTGAAGGCCGGCACGGCCCACGAGGAGGTGTGTAGCCAACACCATGCCTATGTCTCCCAAGCGGTGATATTTACACACCTCACCAGGTACTCATTTGAGGCTGAGTCGACCTAGGGGAGGCCCAGGACCGGTTCAGATAATCATCACCGGTGTTGGCCATGAGCGGGAATCGTAGCGGAGTACGCTAGCCGCTACACTACAACTTTCACCATTCTCGGGGCTGATAACTTTGAAAACTTTTGGTGTTGTAGTGAAATAAACGTGTTTTGGTAAAACCACAGACTTTGTGAAAGTAATTTAAGAGACTGAGATCTGTCGGTACTAAAATGGGGGCTATTGGGACTTAGGAGACAAGATTGCGTAATGTTTATAATCCACAGTGTAGATACGATTCTACCCCCCCCCCCCATCATTTTTTTTTACATTTCCATCTTCGAGAAAATAAAACCCCACTCTTAACATTGAGAACCTTATATTCTTGGTTCTTTCGGTAAAGCCACGTAGAAGGGAAACAACAAAATAACACAAATATAAAACAATAAAAATCCTCACGACGTTTCGACTGCAACACAAGCAACCATCATCAGGTGTGAAAACCACAGCAAGAAAACTTTTTTTCAAATTTTAAACTTTTTTCAAATTTTCTTGCCATGGATTTCACACCTGATGATGGTTGCTTGTGTTGCAGTCGAAACGTCGTGAGAATTTTTATTGTTTTATATTTGTGTTATTTTGTTGTTTCCCTTCTACGTGGCTTTACCGATAGAACCAAGAATATGAATCCCTGCAGTCACGAAAGTTTTAAATCAAAATTGAGAACCTCGTCACTCCACTGCTGGATGAGGGCCCACCGCGCTTGCCCTGCGTCAGGATCGATTCAGATCACTCGCCACTGATGTCAGCCGTGGCTCATAATCGATCTCAGGTCACACAAGACAGTAACATTATTAGAATGAGTTCATTTGTGAAACAAATTTAGCATTATGCTAGTGGGCTGTGCAGCAAAAGCCACTGTATTACAGGGTGGTCTAGATGACCCCTAATTGTTTTATTTTCCATATACATTTATGTTTTAAATCAGAATCTGTATTTACACTGGAGGAATCCGACAAGCTATGAAACTCTTTTTCACAGACGTCCAGCAAATAATTTTAGATTTGAAGCTTTCGTGACTGCAAGGATTCATACTCTTCGGTTTTTTTCGGTAAAGTCACGTAGGTAAAAATAAAAAAATAATATAAATAATATTTCGATTTAAAGCTTTCGTGACTGCAGGGATTCATCTTCTTGGTTCTTTCGGTAAAGTCACGTAGAATAATATTATTTTATTATGTTTTATTTATTTTATTATTTCCATTCTACGTGAATTTACCGAAGGGAACCAAGAAGATAAATAATGTTATTTATATTATTATTATTATTAATTTTTACCTACCTGACTTTACCAAAAAAAACCTTAGAGTATGAGTCCAGCAAATACATTTTAAGACTTAAATGGAAGAATGGGGGGGGGGGGGGTGTCACAAGACATGCGGACCACCGTCCACTACACAGCCAACTTCCTACGCTTACCCTACACACACACACACATGCGCGCCCCACAGGCAGTGCCCAGAGTGGTGAAGTATGGACGGACACAATAACGCGCCACGCGCCACGCACGTGGCGGTGACGACAGCGGCGGCGTCATCGAATCGCCGCGGTGCCCTGGACACGTGTCTGAACGTGGCTCGTGTGACATTATTGTTGTTGTTATTGGTGTGTAGACCACGCTGTGGGTGGGTGGGTGTAACAGACGGAGTGAGCGAGCGATTGTGACCGCGGTTGTTTTGTAAGCGAGCGTCGCTCGGCAGGCGTTTTGCTGATCCTCCCTCTCTACCACCACCTTTTGTCGACGGACACATTCCGTCGTTGTCCGATTATCTTGGCCGTCGTGATTCATTGTCGCCACGATGGAGGCCTTGACTGCAGCTTGCCTCGAGCGGCGAGTCCACGTGGTGGAGTTTGACGTTCGCTTTCGAGGCACCATTAAGTCCATCGATCCGACGAACAAGACGCTGACTCTCGACAAAGTCGAAGGTGAAGTTTGTGTTACCACCGCATTTCGATTTAAAGCTTTCGTGACTGCAGGGATTCATCTTCTTGGTTTTTTCGGTAAAGTCACGTAGCGTCTTCACCTGAAGACGGCTGCTTGCGTTGTAGCCGAAACGTCGTGAGAATTATTTTATTATGTTTTATTATTGTATTACTTACCACCGCATCTCAAGCACATTAAACGCAATTGCATCGGCCGTCTATTAGTATTAAAACGTAGTAATCGGTCGTGTAAAGTCGGCCCCGATGATCGGACGGTTGACAGAAAGTAAAACAAAAATGTCGCGCACGTGGTCGCTACTCGTTGTTGTTGTTGTCTTTTTATTTAAAGTAACGACAAAACGATTGATTGATACGTGTAGGATGGACGTGCTGGATGTTTACTTTCATCTGGCGAAGTTATGCCGTCGTTTAATAGTGGTGGTTTTTTAACGCGTTCGCAAAATCGCATTTTTTTAATGATGGCTGGTGATGAAATCTTACCACTACTTAATCACATTCCTTCCTGGTGCATAATGTAACAACATCAAAGTCTCTCCGCCCGCCCGCCACCACCAAAGCTTTGATGATTTAAAAAAAAAAATAGTCACTTTGGATGTGTGTACTATTTGGCAGTGATCATCGGCGATGCTCAAATGGCATTACCTGGGCTGAAAATGCTGGATGGACAAGGGATATCTTCAAGTAAGTCTGCATAGGACTTTCTGAACCTTTCTAAGATACCACAGTGCAACCAAGATGATTGAAACGGATGTTTAAAATCTCACGCAGTCAGAAACGAATTATTGGGGAATTGAAATATGGTCACGAATTTAATGACTCGGTTATTGGGTAAGCTAAATGGGAATGTAAAGTGTTACTATGTAATCTAATAACTCTTTTTGTTAGATATAAAGAACTCCAAATAGTAATAATGAATAATGTTTAGCCTTTTGCCAATCCGCTTCTGAAGAAATGCCTCACTGAGCATGCCTTGTGATGTTTGACCATTCACCATATTTGTCAGTGTGGGTAAATAGGATGAATTTATGCTGGCTTAATGTTAGCCATGATTTCATTATCGGATAAATTACAATAAATTACAATTGCTTGGGTCATATCAACACATTTGCCAAAAACTGCTGGATTTGTACCTCAATTCTGCTCTCATTTCATAGCTCATAGGAATTTGTCACTCGTGACGACCGCTTCCAATATCCTTGATTTATTTATTTAGCGTGTGCATTTGAGACCGAGCCGAGCAAAGTAGCTCCATCATTTGCAGAATGCAAGTGTCATTAAAACCCGCTGCCAAGTGGCATCGTCTTGTCTGCCATGCACCACCCCAGCGAAAGGACCCAACCCTGTTGGCAGAGTCTTGCTGCAATGCACACAGAGGGACGGAGACCTTTGGGCCAATTCAGGACCTGTTGAGCAGAGCCCTTTCACTTCGCCGCAGATATCAAAACCCAGGCAGGCAAATCGTCGGTATCACTCCTCGTGCCACAGAGGCTTCTGCTGACACGTGGCAGTGGGTGCCCTTGATGACAGACGGGCAGGCTTGCCATGGGAGAATGCCAATGTCTCCAATTATTGTCACTATTTTGCCATACCGTCCGGAGAAGGATGGGTCAACCTGCTTTTCCCGTCAAACTCTGGGTGAGCGTGTCAGGTTTGATACGTTTTGCTGTACTGTAGCATACCTTTCGATTTAAAGCTTTCGTGACTGCAGGGATTCATCTTCCTGGTTCTTTCGGTAAAGCCACGTAGAAGGGAAATAATAAAATAATAAAAATATAATCTTTTATTTTGTCATGTTTTTATTATTTATTATTATATAATATATAATTTTATTATGTTTTATTTTTATTATTTTATTATTTCCCTTCTACGTGACTTTACCGAAAGAACCAAGAAGATGTAGCATACCTGTCAACCCCTTGTCAGTGCCCTACCTTATTAGACCAATTCAGACCTTATTGGTCACCCCGTGCTCCTTATAAACCTCAACGTTCCTCCTACAAAGTCCCATCACAAGGGAGAAACACAAACGGACACAATTTGTTTGTTGTTGCCCGCATTGAAACGGCTGTGCGCCGTATGGACCTGAAAACTCAATTTTCCTGTACAAGAATACGGGGTTAACCGTATGGGTTGACATATGTGTTGTAGCGAGGTGGGGAAGCTGGATGGGTTGTTGGTACAGTACAGTTTTTTTGCCCACTGTAAAGTTAACCACTGCTGTAACCGATTTGTGTTTTTTTTCCCACAAACAGTCCAGGTTATAGAACATTAACTCTCAACACATGGACTGCAATACAATTAACGGCGGTGTAATGCAGACTCGAGACGATGACGCACGCGAGTTTGTACAGGACAGGCCTATAATGTATGAATAAACAGTAATAAACATGTAATTTGTGTTGATCTTATTTTCAGTTACTTTTCTTGATGAAAATCCGGCAAAAGCCTGCAGACGGTAAGGAACGCCGTGTTAATTCCACCGTATTGTGACCATTTGATCAAAGGGAAAACAAACATTGAACTCCAGTAGACCCTTGTCTTAGTAATAATTGTTTGCGTACATTTATTTAATTGCCCATGTGTGCTCGATGAGTAGGCAAGGAGTTGAGAAAGCTGATGCTGGTGTTTCAAGTGGAAATGTCAAGCCTGACAGATATTGTAATAGAATTCCAGGTGAGAGATTCGTTTTGCATTGAGTCAGACATTTAATGATCGCATCTAACAAGAATGAGTGTCTGATTTTTGTTGTCATTTTGACTACGTAGTCCACGTTGTGTACAGTAGACTTGGGTTTAAAGATGGTTATTATTAGAGCTTTGCATCTGATTTTTTAAAGTAATACTTTAACGATTATCGGTTCAGTTACTTGACTAATGGAATAACAAAATTATTTGGCAATAACATGTACATGTTTGCCACCAGAAGGGACGAATTAGGTAAAACTTTGTACCATTCTTATCATCCATGTCACGCTGGGTGTGGCGTATTCTTAGGTTTTTTCAGTAAAGTCACGTAGGTAAAAAATTAAAAGTAAAATAAAATAAAAATCACGACGTTTCGGAGGCAACACAAGCTGTGATGGTTCCACCTGAAGACAGAAGCTTGTGTTGCCTCCGAAACGTCGTGATTTTTATTTAATTTTTATTTTACTTTTATTAATTTAAATTTTTTACCTACGTGACTTTACCGAAAAAACCTAAGAATATCAATCCTTGCAGTCACGAAAGCTTCAAATCTAGAATTAATGGTTGTGGCGTGTAGGGGGTTTCCTGCCTTCAAAAGGCAGAATAGGGCATGCTCGAGAAATCGACCCCCCCAAAAAAAGTAGGGTCGTGTATGACAATCTTTCATCAGTTAATAATGGTAATTGATGACTCATCCTACTTCTCGTCACAACCGGTTTGCAATTCAGTTGGCCACACTTTGTGAAGGGCCCAGTATGATGATGCCCTATCTGCTAATATATTTAGTATGGGCCTAGTGTGCTTTCAATGAATCGCATTATTTTGCCTTTGTGTTTAATTTTGGATTTCTGCTGGATAATTTTATATGCCTTCCACAACTCCCTTGAGAAAATATACCAACTAAATTGCAGTAATCTTCAGTTAAAATGAGCATTGTAAAAAACGGTCTTGATTGTAATAGCAATTGCTTTGTTATAGTTTATTGTAAACCATTGGTGTGCTGAGATTGCGTATTGTTTTGTAAGGTGTATTTGTTTTAACCACCATTCTTTCTCCCCAAATGTATGTCAGGGAAAATTGTGAACTACATCTTAATTGACAAATTTCAAGAGAAGTTTGGATCAGCTGTAAGTCACATGAGCTGCTTTTGTTTTTCTGCTAGTGATGTTTCATTAATAGATAGTTGTACAAACTTTCTTAAAGTACATACAGTACATCTTTATAAAAATAGCAATTCCATTGGTGTGATGTTTGTTTTGAAAAAAAAATTCTGGGGAGTTAGACTTTAATGTAAAGTATGATTTGTATTTGAAATCTAACACAGTTACTTGCACATATCAGTATCATCTCACTCTTGCAGCTGATAACTTCGTAAATCAGATTTCTGACATGGGTTTATGCAGCTCTTATACATTAATGAGCAGATTTTCATGACAAATTATTAATGCACATGTAGACAGATCCGAAACAATAGGTATTTTCATTTGTGGTATAAACACACTAATTGCATTTTATTGATTTAAATTAGTGCACTTTAATTATATTTGGAGAACATGCATGTGAACGCAGTAAAGGGTAGACCCATGTACATTGTGGTTGGTGTTTGGTTCGATGAAATTGCACCCAATGTCCCCATTTTGTGCTCGTCACACATAACATATCAATATGTTAATGTATCATCTGCCACCTATTATTCCTGCACCTCCGATTAGCAAAGATACAAATGAAACCCTTACTGTTTCTGCAATGCCAGTAGCTGTCAAGTGTTTATGCACCACCTTTAACGCGTGACGTGCTCTGGCTTTCGCATTGCTTCATTTCAGATCCAGAACCTGAGTGAGTCATCTGTGATTAGCCTTGAGCTAAATGGAAATAACATTTCCAGATTTGGAAAGCTGTGCTGGCTTCAGGTTGGTAATGTTTCTGCCTGAGCTTTGTCTGCATGATGTTCTGCTTTTGAACGAGTCCCAAAATTACAAAGTTGTTAACGTTGGCGAATCACTTCTGTACACAGGTGTCCACAAAGGAGACTGTTTACCTCTTTGATATCTTGACTCTCGGTTACGAAGCATTCGATTTTGGCCTGCGAAGAATTTTGGAAAATGAGGCAATTTTAAAGGTACGCTTCAAGATTGTTTGTCCGTGGAACATTTAAGTTGTGAGAAATCTGAGCATAAATATTAGACTAAATCTTCAGCGTTGCAATACTTAATCTTCATTGCTTATGCCATACATGCAAAATATCACAATCTTTGCTTTCGTCGCCATAGTTAAAATATGTATATTCCATTTCATATACACTCCCTGGCCTGCTCACCCCATTGGAGCACGTACTTATCTGCAGATAATGGAATAATTTTAAAGTTCAAGAGTCACAAAATACCTAACCTCAAAACTGAATCAAATTTCAGACTATATCAATGGTTTGTGTTCTGAGCAGAAACATATTTCCAAGTACGAACACATAATTAACGAAATATTACTTGGTATTTTGGACACTTTTTTACCCCCTGTATTTTAATATGAAATTTAGGGTGCATCTCATAATCAGGTAGTAGGTGTATATATGTGACCAGATTTATATACAGTAAGCTCTTAATATTAACGGATTTTATAATCGCGGTTTAGCTTATTCGCGATTAATTCTATTGACTTGCTGTTTTACTTTTGAGGGGTTGTATTTTAATATATTCGCGGCCGTAGCAGGCTACGACCCGACAAGTAGTAGTGACATGCGAGTGGCGTACATTATGAGACTGCAAAAGTTGCCCATGTGACACTCTCCTTCAGTCTGCCTTTGTCTGCTACTCTGTTTGCACGCGAGTGCTTTCCTTCACATTTTTGGGGATTTACGTTCTATCGAATAGCTGTTTATTGACATTTGCACTTTAAAATGTTAATATTCATCATTATTTATTGTAACTTAAATAACACTGTATACTATACAATATGTATTCCTTAATATTTACATAGGTTGCATGTTTAAACACTATATGTGTATGTCCCCTAACCATATTTTGCTCAAGCCTTCATTATTAATATTTGAGGATTTAAGTGTTGGCTGTGTTTTCCAGGAGCGTATCCGGCACGAATATTAGGGGTTTATTGTAACTTTATTGATGCCATGCACAAGTTTGGTGTGCACCTTATTCTTCTGAATGTCTTGTAATCTTGAGAATATAGTACGTCTCTGAATTTCACTGCAGATAATTTAATTTTACCTAATTCTCATTCTTAACATATAACTCAGACTCTCTTTGGATTCGAGTTGGTTCATGATATTTTCTAGGTTAACTGCGTTCATTAAATTCTATTGAAAAAGTCACGGGATTATTAAATGACTGGGTATCTTTTTTCCATGATACTGCTGATAAAAACATAATTATCCATTTAAGAGGACATCATGATTTGATATGGCATGTCATATTACGATATCTGAAAAGCTATTCCTCTTAATATCCGTTGACATATGGTAAAGTAATTACCGTAGCTAAGATTTGCCATGCATCATTTTTTTTTAACTGCCATGTGGTGTGCTGTAAGCATGTTTATATCCAGCCATTTCAGCATGACCTACTTTGATCTAAGAGATGTCCCTCTTATGCTGGCAATTATTTTGCTCTCCCTTCTCCATTACCTGCTCTTCAGTCATTCTACCACGAGGTTATATTTTTGGTCTGTATTATCTGGCTCTATTTTCTCAAAGTCAGCCATTAACGGCATTTCAATGATCAATCACTCTGGTTTCACATTAAATCTGTTAGCTCATCAAGTCTGACTTAAGGTTAATCCCTGGGATCGATATGAATTTAAACAGACATGTCAGAATATGCAAATGTGTAATATAATGTGGGCATGTGGTATACAAGTTAAAAACATAGACTTAACACTACAACATGATTTGGTTTTATGGTTTGTATAAAGTAATGGCAACATTTGTATTTTCAGGTGGTTCATGACTGCAGATTTTTGTCTGACTGTCTTTACCACCAATACAAAACATCACTGGCCAATGTCTTTGACACACAGGTGAGTCATTTTACATATGTAATCGATAATGCTAATCTTTTCAACAAGTTGGTAAAAATGTATAACAAAGTACATTGGGTATAATGATTTTCATTTTGTCTTGATAATTAATAAATGCAAATGGAAATACATTTTAAGATTTGTATCTTGTTTTTCTGGAAAAACATTACTGACATTACACCTATTGGTAAACATTGCTGTTACACGTGTTGCATATTTTCTGAATGAGGCCACGTAATATAGATGTTGTGTCAGTGGGGTCATTGCAAAGCATCGGCATGCAAACAAAAATCATACGCTGCGTTTTACAAATTAATATTGCATGCTGTGATGAAATACTGTACGGGTGACATTGCTTCGATTAATTAAAATTACACCAAAATAGGTCTCCTACCTACTTGAATATGCAGATCATGTTGGCTGTGTTCTGCTTGTCTGTTGAAAGGGACTGTGGCTTTGCTGTCTTTGTGAGTAGATTGCAGATGTCATCGTGCGCAAGCAGGAAGCCGGTGGCAAGTGGCCTGACAAATTGAGGCTTCTGCCCGAGTGTTTGTCTCACCATCTCGGACTTCCTGCTGCTGCCTTTCAGACATACAGCGTGGTAAGGGCAAGAATACCACGAACGCATTTGTATTGTGACATAAGTGAAATGCATGCTGTAAATATAATGGCGGCGGCTCGGTTAAACCTTTGAACAAATCATTTGTAATCTTGTCTTATCTCGGAAGTGACATAGGCCTTGAACCTGGATAGTATTTGGATGGGCAACCCCCCCCCCCCTCCATGCTCTCTGCCTTCATTAACCTACACTGATCAGCATGGTGAAATATGGTCAAATAATCCACAAGACCCCATGCGGTGTGGGGAGATCCTCGCCAAGCTGTTGATGCAATAATCTATGGAGGATAAACTATGAAGGGGACAGAGTCCGAAGTAACTTTTGGTTTCCACAAGTCCTTCAAAACATCAGCTATAACCCCACTAAAGCTTGGTTTGGTAGCTCATGTCCCACAAGGAGGTTTTAGCCCCCTCAAAGTTATGGCCATGTTTGACATTCAACCTGAAGCCATTTTGTGGGGTCAACACATCGCACGAGGAGGTAGAGGGTTGCAGAGCTGCATACATAAAGCCAACTACATTATGAACAAGCTCTAGCCATGTCTACTCCTTTAGAAGGAACAATCACTCGAATTGCTTAATGTTTTTGGAAATGTGGCATATATTAAGGTCCACAGCATTACATTAATAGCAAAGCTCTGATGCTTATTTTTGCAAGACTTGTACAGAAGCCCAAACAGCCTATCTGTTTCATAAGTATTTATCGGCCTACTGTCATTCTAAATACAATTTAATATCCTTAGCATCACTCCAAATTGATACACTTCCAAGTTTGTGATCCTACCCCCCTCTACTAAAGGAGATGTGGCTCAGTAAATATTGAATCACTGAGCTTAAATAATTGACCTTGTTTTTCATACCTTATCTGTATCTTCCACCCCACAAATTGTAAGCCACATCTAAATCTTTAAGTGGGAACTTGTGGTTGAGTTGACATGGAAAGACCCATTACCAAAATGGATTATGTTATTGCAAGACTGCGAGGCATGGCAATGGTGTGAGACAGCCTCCATCGATACGGTAATACAGTAATCCCTCGCCACTTCGCGGTTCAAGTTTCGCGGCCTCAGTGCATCGCTGATTTTTCAAAAATATTCATCGAAAAATGAAAATTCAAAAATACCGCCATATCGGCAGCCGTATTGCGGAAAGCAGCGTTGTTTCATCGTGATGCGTGAGAGAAACGGTTTCCCAGGATGCCAGACAGTGAGAAACTCTCTCAGAGGCTTTGTACATACCCACGGGCACTCGGACAAGGCACGTGATTGGTTCCCGGCGCGAGATCGACGAATGAGAGCACCAAATTCCTAGGGGGGCCAATCCTACTTCGCGGATTTTCACCTATCGCGAGGGGTTTTGGTCCCCATTAACCGCAATAAACGAGGGATTACTGTATATCTGATGGGATCATTTCAGGTTAAAATCGTAAACATGACAATTTCATACTGTACTGGACAGGTGAATATTTTTACAGCCTTGTCCCACGTGGTTAAGTTGTGTGGCTTATCCCATAGATGGCAGTGTTGTTCTGCTGTTTGTGTGCGTGGTATCTGTGTCTAAATGTTAATGCACGTGGTTTAATTTATACCGTGAAATGTTCAAACAGGCTTGCAGATGTCAAACAATGAAATCCGCCATTCAAATATGGAAATATTCGACCAAAACATGTTTCTAGTCAGTTACGCTCGTGATTTCTTAAGTGTTTTTGATAATAAATTAGCAACAATAGTGGTACATTGAGGCATCTTGTTTTTCTTACACGTTGACATTTGAAGAAAGAAACCAGTCCTTTCTCAGCCTTGTTTGGCTCCTGAATGCACTCATCCTTTGACAATATTGGAAGTCACAAGACTATCCATACCTGCAGTCTCCCTCCATTGGGAAATGGCTTATTTTTACGCCGAATATTGCTTCGTGTTGCACACGGTGAACACACATTGCAGAGGTTGCAACAGTGCTCTTAATGTAAATGCTTGTGTTTTGTTTTGTCATAAGGATGATGTAATTTTATATCCGAAGATTAAGTTTTAACCTTCTAAGACGTGTGTATCATGTATTATTTCCCTTCTACGTGACTTTACCGAAAGAACCAAGAATATAAGTTTTAACCTCGTTCAACAAAGTTTAAATTTAATCTAGGTCTGTGGTTTTTCAAAACGGAATTTGTTTTCATGATGCGTTTTTATATAATATCCCGTGTCAAAACTGTCATTTAAATGTTTATATAGTGTATTGCAAATTACCATTCACATGTGTTGAAGAGAAGAATACATTGGTGAATGGGGCAACAGAAATAGCTAATGACTTGAAGAAGCACAATTGAAATATGTTTAATGATTTGCCTGAACGAGTAAAAGAAAACGAGAAGTCGGGATCTGTGGCAAAGTGGTTAAAACGGTGCCATATGAACCCGACTACCTGAGTTGGATTTCCTGCCACAGCTTTCATCACTGGCGAGCAATATCTAAACCGGTAAAGGGCCCCCCCTTCACTTTACCAATCTGCATGGATCAGCGTGCAGATGTGTGGTCAAACATCCCCCTCGATTAACACGGCTTGGAGAGGCCTTCGTCCCGTAATGGGTCGACAACGGGCTGTATTAATATATTGTTCATCGTAAAGAGGAAGAATACTTTGAATGAAAGGCATACAGAATGACTGACCTTGATGTTTAAGGGTGAAAAGGGATGTGCACATCAATTTTAGTGCCTTTCAGTATACACACACATGGCCATGCCTCATTAATACACAGAATCCTAATAATAATTGGCACCTTTTAACTTTCGTTTTCTTCTGTCTCACTGTATATTTGTCCCTTTTGTGACAATTCTGCTTTCTTGGCAACGAGCGCTACACCGCCGGCGCACCGTCTTCCAATAGGCTTCCTAAGACGTGTGTATCATGTGTCGTTCATTTCTCGTACAGCAACAGATTTGCGCAAAAAAAGCTTTGTGCGAGGCTGCCTGTTTCGGACAGCAAAGCTCTGTAGTGACTCATTCCTCCGCTGCCGTTTGACTTGCACGAAGCGCAGGAACGCTCCGACTACTGCAATTGACACATCCAAGGACCCGTAAACAATACTGGAGCGCGTCTTGCGCAATGTTTATTTTAAAGTCTCGTTTTTAAACGTGTAATATTGAGCGTCTACGTTTCATAGGATTTTCATTTTTGTTCCATTATCTTTTGATGTGTACACGTGGATTTGTAGTTATTTGTACCTTTTAGTTAAAAGAGAAATAAATACACACAAACACACTCGCTGAAAACCAGTCCGTGCGCGGTGTAATGGACACGCTAAATAATGCATCCCCTATATGGCATGCATAGAGCGCATGGCGCTCTGCAACAAAAGTGTGTGTTTTTGGTGCATTTGTATATTTGCCCCCAAGATGCTGAATGGCAGCTGCGCCGTGTAAACATTGCATGCTTTTCTGCTATATTGCTGGGCACTCGCTGAGGCTTTTGTAGCCTTTGCTTTTCAGCTGGTGGACCTTTAGAGGCAGCCAATCTCAAACAGAGCAGCCCAGGGGGGGGGGGGCGGTGGGGGGGGGGGTGAATTTGACTGCTCGGGCCCCCGTCAGCCCATTGCCGCAGTGGCAGAACCGAAGTTTAATTTATTTCCTTTATTATTATAGATCCATGATGCCATTACGAGATTCACCCGCATGCATTAGTGTGCTGGGGGGGGAAGAAGAGCTTCCCCCACAAAATTAACGATGGCGAAAAGGGCCGTCGGGTTAATACGTGTTTTTAGAATTCCTACTGATCGGAAGAGGAAACAATATCTGGCATCCTCTGCAGCGCTTTGATTAGGGATATCTCTTTGATGCAGGAATGTTATTGAAGCGTACACAAGAGCGGTTTGCAAAAAATAATCTAAGTTATTCAGTAGCCGTCCCCTTTGTGACATTTAAAAAATGTAATTATGTTCAACAGTTGCATTACATTTTCATGATGACTCGTGAAAGTAAATGTCCTTGGTTGGATAGTTCAAAAGCAAATATGATGAGTGGTCAGAAATGTTTGAGTAAGGCATTTTAAAGATACGTAGCCTCACAATGATTTCGTCTCTTGCTTTTTTAGTGATGGAAACCCTAATTTAAATGCACGTATGGTTTCTTACATGCAGGCATAACACCGTAAGCTATCTGTGGACCCATCGTAACTATGCACTTAGGCCTCTATGCCCATAAAGGACCTGGTCATGACAGTCATTTGCAAGCTTTACGTTGTTTATAAAAAAAATTCCATTCAAAGTTAACCTCGAAATAGAGTTTGTGTGCCCTCGTAAATAGTTATGCAGTTGATGTTGATTAACCTCCTCGCTCTTTATAAAGGATGCACTGATGAACTCCACCTTGATTCGCCATCAGTCGGTGTCTATTTTGACAGTTCGCATGCCAAATGTTGGTCCAAGGCATTCATATAATTACTGGTAATTTTTCACGCAACTCGCATCCGTTCTAATGGCCACACTTGATACGCGCGCCCTATGAGCACCCCTATTCACTCATTTGGCTGATTAAGGTGATGCCGATCATTTCACATTGAATGAATGACTGTGTGAGTGAACCTGCCCTTGAGTGATGAATGAAGACTTTGCTTACCTATTATCTAGAACCAGCCAAACCATTACATATCATGCTTTTTTGTATATGGCATCATCGATATCTCTTGTGCGGTATAGGCCTGCGTTTGATTTCTTGTTTAAATGAAGTAAGTGTACCTTTTCCCATTTATATGGTGCACATTTCCACAAATATACAATGTGCATATTTGCACATGCAGAAAGTGGTTGAGCGGCAGAGGGAGGAATAGGTAATTGAAATGCATATTTATGGGACCACAAAGCACATAAACCATTACCAAGGCTGCTGGAATCACATTGCCCCGTGGTAGTATGTTGACAACTGTCTACCTGTTCATTATAGTGGTAGTGCCTGGCTCGTAATTATTGTGACTGGTTTATTGTTCTATGTTGAGTTGACGTTACTTCATTTGTGAAGAGTACGAATGCACGTATACGTGAGCAGCAATAAAAAATATATATAGAGAATGAAATTCAGTACTGCACCTGGAAAAGTTACTTACCGAATATTGGTCTCGTAAAATATATGGTCAAATAAAGTGATAACACATTGTGACTCAATGTAAACAAATTCCCTCCAGAGAGAGTTTAAAACATGAATTTACCCGTAAAATAATTTTCACTCATTTTTATTTCGATTTAAAGCTTTCGTGACTGCAGGGATTCATCTTCTTGGTTTTTTCGGTAAAGTCACGTAGAAGGGAAGTAATAAAATAATAAAAATAAAACATAATAAAACAATTCTCACGACGTTTCGGCCACAACGCAAGCAGCCGTCCTCAGGTGAAAACCAGGTCTGTCGAGGCGACAGCGTCATTCAGGGCCTTTCAAATGTGTCTCATGGCGCTATGGACGAAAGGACAGATAATATACGAATAGGTAAAATTTTGTTTCAGTCATTGACTTGACTAAAACATGATTCCATGATGGTACATTGTACAGACCTTTATCTATACACTGCTGAATAAAGGCCTCCCAATGCTTTTCAGTCATGGGGATTTGATTATACTTCACAATGCTGGTCAGGATCTGTTAGTGTAGACGGTGCCTCGAACTGGTTCAGATATCGCTTGACGCTGGTGTCACCTGTGGCCTGGAATGGATAACGTGTTCAGTGTGCTAACCACTGCACATGAAATCGCGTCAGTAATAATAACATAGATCATGAAACACAATCACGATGGTTGTTTGCGACACTGAGGAGGATAACATCCCAAACCTTAATTTAACAGATGGACGCAAATATTAACCGCCATGAGTAAACTATCCGCTGGCAATTTATAGCTGCATCCTTGGGGACTTTAATCTAATATAACATATTGCGTTGTACAAAATACTTAATGAATATATTACCGTGAGCGCAGGCCATGCAAAACAATTTGACGATGCCTGCGTGCGTGGTTTTTTTTGCCCATTGCTTGCGTGCATTTTTGTTAATTTATGGGACCCTTTTTTCCAATATGAAGATGAAAAAATAATATGGTTTATCGTCTCCGGCAAGTGGATGAAGCCTATTCATTTTTCCCAGAATCTTTGTTATTCGGGCTCTGCAATCATCTGGGTGCGCTCTTAAATGCATTTTGGCTGTCTTTTAAATGAAAACAATAAACAAACGATGCTCTCTGTGGCTCTTGCTTGCATTCTACACACTCACTGTGCCCCTCTGGGCAATAGATACAACACTGACCAGTGCTTTGTTATTGTGCGCTACTGGCATGTGGAAGGGGGTACTGTGTGATAAGCTGTACGTGCGCGTGAAAGCATGCCCCATACTTATGAGCACTGCTGGTGGTGTGGGCAGATCGCCATCAATATTCAAGTAGAACAGCAACTGTTTTGATGCCAAATACTTAAAAAGTGGAGTGATCACCTGCTATGCCCTCCCTTCCACTAATGTTACACTTCATAATTAAGGGCAGTGCTACGAAGTTTGTTGATGTAATGCACGTTTATGATGGAAAATATATGTCCCCTGACTTCTCAAACCTTCACTGACCATAATAGTCAATGAAGTATGGTAAAATAACCTCCGGCCCACACAGTGTGGCAATGCCCCCTCATCCAGCAGTTAATTGACAAGGGCTGTAGGTGTTTAAAATAACGTAAAGGTGCAGCCCTGCAATTCCTTACTCATGCCCTACGCACAGAAGGGCCTCTACCAGAGCTAGTTCTAGAGAGCCCCTCAAGCAGGTTTGGGGCCTACTCGGATTGTAAATGTTGTGGATTTGCTCTCCAACACACCGTTGTGCTGTACTCGTAACGAATCTGCGTGTTCTGGTTTCGTGACGAACCCTTTCTAATTGGCTGTGTTCGCGTGGTTTGCGGCGGCTTTAAAGACGCATTTATATTTATGCGATCTCACCCAAAAAAAACTATATTATTGCCTACTCTTCCTCGCTACGCAGGAATCTTGGAAGAAAAGTCAAGTGTCCGCAGTTGTATCTGTAGATTAATAAAAATCTTCTTGCGATGTTGTGAACTGGTCTTCAGGGCATGAGATGTAATCAAAGAAATGTATGCCGACATTCATAGGTGCAACGTGATGAAATATTGTGTGGCGGGAGTAGATGGGCGACACTGGTTCGTCGGCGCTACGCCTCCTTGGGTACAATTTGTCTCGGGGTTTTGCTTTTTAAATCCTTTATATTAAGTTCGCTTGCTTGCTTACGACCGTGCAAATCTTTCGGTCGTTTTTTAACCCACTTCCCGTGATCCAATCGAGCTGACGTTTTGCACACAGACTCGTTGTGCGTGACAATGTATTTTCGTGAATTTTTTGTTTCCAAAATTTTACACTTTTTAGGAAAAAATAAAAATTTTTTAATTACCAATTGCTTAATGGTGGCAGGCATTCATCTGACCCATAGGTGGCAGCCATCTCAAGCCAGAGGACGAGAGGACTCTAGCCACCATGCATATAAAGGATTTATAGTGAAAAACTTTGTTTTTACGGGTTAATTTTTTGCTCGTGACCCAGGCCAGCGCGACGGTGTGGACGATGCGCCCCAGCCACTCGGCACTCCTCCATCTGGCTGCTCGACACATGCCTGAACTGCTGGCGCTCCGCACGGTGTTGCTCGACAAGCTGATGGTGCCCTTTACAATACATGTCGGTCACAGCCTCGACATTTACCGTGCCCAGCCAGACCACGTGCTGTGCCAAGTGAAGGTACTTGCATGCAAGTTTTGCATCTCTGTCAATCGTCGTCGGTTGTCGTTGCCTCGTTTTGTGTGTATGGGCGTGCGTTCACGTGCGTTTGGGTTGCATTCTTGAAAAACCCGAATGTGAAGTGAAAAATCGTATATTGCAGTAAACGTATTAATATTCGTGGGGAATGCATTCCTGAAAAATGGGCGCGAATATTTAATCCGTGAATGTTAAGCTTATCAGGGCAATAGGGTTAGGGGACAAACGTTTATTGTGTTTAAACATACAACCTCTGGTATATAACAATGGATACATATACTGTATAGTACTATTGTGTTATTTAACTGACATTTAATAATGATGAGGAATATAGGTTTAAGGGTAATAAACATTACTTTTATATATAAATACATACATACATTGTATTATATTGTGTTATTAAACTTGCCTTGAATAATGATGCACACAAACGTTACAGATGCAAATATGAATAGATAATTGAATATACAATTCTAGATTTGAAGCTTTCGTGACTGCAAGGATTCATACTCTTAGGTTTTTTCGGTAAAGTCACGTAGGTAAGAAATAAAAAATAAAAATAATAGAAATAATAGAAATAAAATAAAAAAATCATGATTTATAATTTTATTTCTATTCATGATTTATTTTCTATTATTTCTATTATTTGTATTATTTATTTTTTACCTATGTGACTTTACGGATAAAACCTAAGAGTATGAATATTATACAGTATATGCAAGCTTAACATTTAATGATGATTATAAAAGAAAGGATTCGCGTGTAAACAGTGTGGCAGACGGAGAGGTAGAGCATCGCGTGGGTACCGCCCTGGTCCCACCCTTTACAATGCTCCCATGCACCACAACTCCTTGTTGGGTTAGGAGCATGGTACGGCCACGCATATTTAAACAACCCCGCGAATTTCAAATAACACTGCACTATTTTTTTCCAATTACTGAAAACCGTGGTCATAATGCCCGCGAATTATTAAGGGTTTGCTGTACACCGAAACATTTTCCCATAAGGTCCCATTATAGCCTAAGATGCATACCTAAAAAAATATATTTTCTGACCTAAAACTTACTAAACTTACACTTTGCAACACAACTAAGATATGTTCATGCATAAATATTGAGAATAAGTGGACGGATAATTAAAAACAAATACTGTACGTTGTTATTCACTCACCAGGAACTGCTGCACGGCGTGCGAGGTGATGCTTCGCCGAAGGCGGTGGAGGGGTCACTGGGAGGGTTAGGGGGGAAAGGGCATCAGGGAGCTTATTCCTCTCCCTGCGTAATAACGAATAAAACGAGATGTAAACCGTAAAAAAAAAAAAGTCTTAAATTATGACCGACGTAATAACGAATCGTCGTAAATAGAATTCAGTGAAAGTTGGCGCCTGGATGCTGTGCTAAATTATCTTGAAGTAAGTGTATGTCTTGGAGGCCTTTTTAAATACAGGTATGATGAAGGGTTGTGATTAGAAGGCCTGTGACATGTGTAGCCCCTGTCTGCATGAAATAGTTGCCAGATATCCGTGCTTGAACCACAAATGCGCTTCCCTCTGTATTTAGCTAAATGAAATTAAATGCGTAATTTTGGACTGCTAGGACAAGTTGGTTTGGGGCAGGGGCACGTCGTTAGAAGGGACAATGGCTGACCGGTGGTGGAGAATAATGATGCGGTGGCAGCCCAAGGGGAGGGGAATGCACTCAAGCCAAGGGGATATCCAATGTGGAGATGGAGCGATGAAATTGGGTCGTGTGCAAGTGTCCAGTGGATTGTACGATGGGAGCATGACAGATTGCGATGATTTTGGGAAGCCTTCATCCAGCAGTGGATTGATCATGGTTGGCATTGATCTAGACATCAGCACGCGCGTCTTAATTACGTTTGAGTCGAGAGTTTGTTCCATGTACGTTCCAAATATCGCATTAATGACCATGGTTAGGGATGGGTTTTGTGCACTTTACAGCTACAGTATTAGCAGACAATTATAATTTTGAGGCCTTTCTGTATTTTGCTAGTAGTTCATTTATTATTTTTCAAAGTGCATTTATTAGGTATAGCCCTGTGAGCCATTCGGCTCTTGAATCGGGTGCAACCGCAACAAGCAAAAAAACCAAAACATGAACAAGAAAACATCTTAAAGTGACTATGTGCAAACAGAAAATCCAAGAAAAGACAGCAAAATATTGCAGAAAAAATCACTGTACACCAACCCTGTGCAGATATCCCAGTGGGATGCAAGTCAAACAACAACCACAAGACAACTTAGATTAAGGCAATCCGTCTAACTCTGTACTACAACAAACAAACATGGCCAAACCAAAAAACTTTTCGAAAATCACCAAAATAAAGCCATAAAAGCAATGAAACAGTGATCATAGGAACTGTGACCGAATTTTCACAATAAACGACGTAAACAACATGTACCACCAAACTCTGCAGCCATAGCTGGCTGCATGAGTCACTCCACAACAGTAGGAGCATCAGTCGGAGTATCAACATTTTTCAATGCACCTTTAAGATCAGCGCAGTAAATCAAAACACAGATCATACTTTGCATACTTTGTGCATAACACATGGATTCATGACAGGGAGATCAATAGATGTATTCAGTTGTGTATTCTCTTTGATGTATTGCATAAACCACTTTGAAAGGGTAGAGAGAGGTGAACTTTAGCTGTTACGTAAGCGATGGGTGTTTGAGGCAGGATTAATGTCCGTGTTACTCTATTGGTCAGAGAGGTTCGGACTTTTGTTAAACAACTAGAAAATAATTGTCTAGCCTTTGAATTAATCCTTTTTTAATTTCAACATAGTTTCTCATTTCATCTGTATTGCGAGTGTAGTCAATATTATTATCGGCCTGTACTTTATTTCTATTGGATTTTGTCCATGTTTGGGATTGTAGTTTTTTGTCATTTACAGTGCTTTAAGCCATTTCATAATCAGATTGAGAATCGCTATTTTGAGTGGAGGAATCCGATGAGCTATGAAGCTCTTTGTTACAGATGTCCAGTAGGGCCAGAAATGTGCATTATAAATTAAAGATGTTTATTGGTTTATGGATGGTGGTAGGAATTTAATGGAGGAATAGGACAAGTAACTTGGAAGTTTGGAATCTAAGTTGGCCAGAAAGTAGCTGAGATGTTATTATGAAGAGGAGGGTGCTATGTAGGGCAATTAAATTCAAGATTTATGAGTTCATAATAGTGCAGTGTGAAAACCACTGTGCCACCACTCCACCTCATTAGTCGGTGTCGTATAATTCTCGATTTGAAGTTTTCGTAACTGCAAGGATCCATACTCTTTGGTTCTTTCGGTAAAGTCACGTAGGTGAAAATGATGACGGAAGCTTGTGTTGCTTCCGAAACATCGTGATTTAATTTCGTTATTTCTATTCTATTTAACTTTTTTTTATTTTTTTATTTTCACCAGTGTAGTATAGTTGTGTAGTTTTAGTGTGTGTGTTTTTGTTTTCCTGTATCATGGACAATGTGCGCGCGTGAGAATAAGACGACGTGCTGTTATGTTTGTGGGGATGGATCGCGAAGTTTAGGGGAATCCCACGTGTGAAAGAAGACCAAAGAGAGCCGGCACTAAATTGTGAAACCATACGGTTCGCTGAGGAAACCTCAGCGAAGATGTTACTCGGCTTTAGGTTGTGGCCAAGTGCAGAATCATACGACGAGGTTGTTTCATGAACAGTTAAAGTAATTGCGTGAATAAATAAAAATGATAGGTAGACATTGTGAAAAGATTGTCTGAAACTGTAAATCTAGTGGAAATTAGCATGTAATCAAGTTGTAATAAATTGGTATGTTAATATTACATAATTGATATTTGGCCATTCTATGCAAAAGTGGGCCATAATGTGGCAATCTTTTAGTCATACGATGGGATATACATTACCGATACAAATAGTTCCTCCTGGTTAAAAACAGCTGGTCAGCTGGATTGCATTGTGCGCGTACAAATATGTGGTGGCTCGCTCACATGCCTGCATGCTCTGCGCGTGGTGCAAAGGTGCAGAGATTGCTCATATGCTGGCCCACACACTGTTGCGTGTGCATGCATGCGGACACACGCACGTAGGTGCACTTAAAAAGCCTTGCTTCAATTACTCCCACGCACACACACACGCACATCAGATTGCCTTAAGTTAACTTTACATGAAGCCATGCATAATGGAATAGCTGCTATTCGAGTTAAACATTTTATGTAACCAATAAGGTGCCCTTTTACCCTCGTTATAATGCTCACATCTGTATGGATGAGATGTAAGCCGTACAATGATAGACTGGTGTAAGGCTATCCAGAGCAGTTCTGCGTGAGGATTATTGAAAATAAAAGGTAAAAGTGCAGCCCTGTACTTGCTTGCTCATGCCACTGGTCCGTGGAAGGGCCTTGATAAAGAGGGAGCTCTAAAGAGCCCCTCTGCAGTCTACATTTACCTACTCTTACAAATGTACCCTCTGTAGAGTTATACTGGTAGGAATCTCCTGGTTACACCAGCCCACAGGGGATTATTGAGTCCGTCATGCAGGGAGGGGCTGGGAGGGGAGGGTGGGGAGGGGCTGGGTGAGGAGAGGAGGGGCTGGGTGGGGAGGGCAGGGGCTGGGTGGGGAGGGGCTGGGTGGAGGGGTGGGGCTGGGTGGGGAGGGGCTGGTCACCCCGTGGTGCCCTTATAAAACTCAACGTTTAACCTCCTCACGCCGGCTTGTACCCGCCCTCACAGTCGGGCATATTTGCGGAATACACCACGCCGCCGTTGACCCTGGCAATTGACCGAGCAACCCAACGTTCCTACCAGCTCCCTCCGCAGGAATGTGTCATCGGTAAGCTGCCATAATAAAACGAAGAGACAATTGCGTCGTCGAGTTTGCGTTGACCAGCCCTCGCTGAGCAGCATTGTGGGAATACCCACACTTTAACCCCACCAGCATGCGCGACCTGCCGAGCAACTGACTGGTGTGTACCCCGTTTCTACA